AATACCATGCAACTCCCCAGGTGCTTACGTTGCTCGATGATGAGGGTCCTTTGTTCCTAGCAGGCTTTGGGCTCTCCATAGAATAATGTAATTGCCTGCCAGTTTTATCGCTTCACTAAAAGCAAGCAACGATAGCTAGATCATGAACAAGAACTCGATGGGATTGTGGTAGGATGTGAAAAATCCATGCCGACATTATTTGCATGTGTGCAGCCTTACTGTCCAGACTCACTATCAGTGTCTATTGCACCTAATGAAGGGTGTTTGTACCATACTAGTTCTCTGCCTTGGACTACTCCTGGGTGACAACTAAACAGCAAAATATATTTAGAGCATCACCAACGTAACCGCCATCAAGCCCTCGAGACGCCTCAGCAATTCACTGTTGTGAAATGTAGCCCTTCTTTCTGGCTATCGTTCACGGGAATGACAAAACTGTGAAGCAGTACCACGTTGCAGCTATCCTGTCATGGTTCAAAGAGACGAAGATTTTTTCACCTACACATTCCAACTTTGCTCGGTTCTGCCGCTTCACGCTAGGCACGTAATCATGTTTCTTGGGCACAGCTCATATTTACACTGCAATAAAAGTTCGTACGACTCGTTCTATGGCCTCGCACGCAACTCGTGGCAGAGGGCCATGCACTGGTATGCGCAGATTTCAGCAGCTGAAGCCGTGCAGTTCTCCAACACCCGACATGTTCCGAACCATTTCTAAAAGGTTTAGGGCTAGTTTCACCATTGGCGCTCCTATTGAACTGCCGGAGATCAAGGGCAAGGATAGCATCTACGTCGGTGTGACTAGCCTCAGCACAACTGCTATCTGTATCCCTTGCTCCAGCGCTGTCATTGCCGAGCAAGTCTCCCAATTATTCTTAATTTTTTTTCAGAAGCTTTTAGGAATTCTTCAGAAGTATTATTGCAGATAGGGATTCAAAATTTCTTACTTCATTTCAATGTGCTTTCATGACCTGCCTGCATATGGGCCGCCTAAGACCAATGTGCGTTACCCTGACACAGATAAGCAGACAATGCACCAAGCTCACGTTCCTATGTTCTCTGCAGCCTTTGTGCCTCTGTGCTTACGAAAATCCTATTTCTTCCCTTCAGCTTCTCGCTTGTGTTGAGTCAATTTGTAACGCGTAAGCACCCCTGTTTACCCACTGTTTTACCGCTTCTCTGGTCTCTACTGAGAAGCCCCTTTCTAAGCCGAGTGTAGGCCGTGTAGTCCTGTGTTAGCAGGTATCTTAAGCGGCAGAGGAAATCGGAGGACAGCTCGCTAGTGCACGCAGATGTATGGGCTAAGCTCAAAAGAGACAAGCACGCAGGGATGATACATGGCAGTCGGCTGTGTCCATTAAGTCTGCAGACTTTCTCCTGGTGAATCGGTAGACTCTACGAGGTGTACAAGAACCCGACCGGTTGAAGACTTTGGCGGCCAGGTAGCCTGAACTATTTGCAATCTTCTCGCAGCTTAGTGCTCTTTTCCCCCCTCTCGATTCTCCTTAAAGGTTCGAGGTGCCACAAAAACCATCAATCTTGACTCCCTATGAAAGTTTTAAAGCTCCCCGAATCATTAGTGGACTTTGCCACCCATGCAAGTAACCCATATGAATGAGAGCGTCAACAGCAAGGCGTAGAAGCGTTAGCTTCTAGGAAAGTTGAGTGCTTAGAACACAACAGATATGAGTCTCTAGTGAAAGGGATTGGAGAGCGATGTTTAGTGTCTGAGGGAGGTCAGATACGGGCTTCGTTGATTGGGGGAGATTTCACTGCTCTGTTTCACAACGCCATTCACAACAGGCGGTATTCCTTGCCGTTTAATGGTAGTTTGCCTTCACCATTGCATGTATTCTGCGTGAATGAGCCACTTTTATCCATGATAACCCTACTTGCTTGAAGTAGTCATGTTTACTATTGCTCAGCTGTCCTATACACTCATACTCATGCGTTGGCGCTTTCAGTTGTGCTGTTTGCGCATTCTTCGTTATATCTCTTTTAATGGGTGAAAAGCGAATAGATTCGCATGCGTTGGCACTACTGGCATGCAGAAGCTACTCTATGGGGCCCCAAAACACTGCCAAAGTAGTGTATGCTCTGATTCCCTTTACACGTTTTGCATGTTTTACGTTGCCTTGTAACGGGAGGCTCATAGTTTCCAAAATGCTTTGACGACAGAGAGGCATCGTGCCGTCGCGCTGATCGTACCTTGGCCCATCTTTAGTTGTTGGCTACTCTGTGTGTCTTCCGTTTCATCCATTTCGAACTACTGGTTGATGTCCACATCTGCTTCTCTCACTCGAACTTTCTCATTTAGTTTTGAGGGATGGCGATACTATGGGAACTTTTCCGCTGTCCTGTACGCAGTCGTCTGTCTTAAAGGACAGGTAGGGAACACGTGGCTGTGTGTGTCTGGAAAAAGAGGTGTTGGGCTAAGCTATATTTCAACACTGTCTACAACACCAGTCATATTACGCGTGCAATGGTAAAAATTGACTAGGTGCTTTGTCTGTCTCTATAACTTCTTTAGTGCACAGTAGAGTCAGCTCGTAACAAGAAATGCAATGCATAGTGCTTGCGCGTCAGGTGCAATGTGATGCTAGCTTTGAATGCTTTGAATGCTTACAGAGTGCAATTACGCGCCCCTAGCTCCCTCTCCCTGCCATGTCGGAATTCTTAGGGCGAGAAAGAGCAATAGTTCCTTCCTATAGCACATGATAGCGTTCTACTAACTTTGGAAAGAATACGGAGATAAGTGTCTCTGCACGGACGACACATATGGTGAGTTACAAGGGAGCCACAGCTCCACGGAGCACTCTGGGCTGCATTGGTATAGTTTGTAAGGGGATCCACTAGAATAAATAGAAGACCAACAGATTTATAGGAAGCAACCTGCTTGAGATAAGGTCGGAAAGGGTCTGTTATGCGTGTGCAAAAGGCCAAGACGGTTTCGAAATGTTCAGTGCACAACGGGAGGGAAGGGTCCTCTGCCTTCAATTCAGTGATGCGAGCTTGGAACGCCAAATGTACACTCAACATAGGAGACGAAGAGGCCTCACATTACTATGGTTAGGGGTGGTGCCTCCGGGGTTTTTCACCGAAGTAACAGCGTCGCATGCAAGTGTAGCAATAGCAGCGCGGTCGGCAGCGGCACAAGGAAAAGATCCCCCATAGTTCTCTAGAAGGTAGTTGATTCTGAAATGTTTGGGGGGCTTAAGGTATTATCCTCTTTGTCCTCTTCTTCTTAATGAGCAAAAACCCCGTACCCACGAGTATTGCCGAAGGGCCTCAGGCCTTGAACTACGGCCCCGCTCCCTGGTTCTGGCCTTTCATCTAGGATAGAAACTTTCCTGGTAATTTGCGTCATTTTTGTTTTTTCTGTACTCATCTTAATGAAGCGTCGCTTCCTCACGAGGGGCGTTGTTGTGTTGGGAGGAGCTAGGACCCCAATCGGCAGCTTCCTAGGGTCACTGCGGGGGGTTCCCCCTGCCCGGCTTGCGACTGCTGCCGCTGCGGGGGCTCTCCAGCGCTCTGGGATCGCGCCCTCTGAGATTCAGAACTGTGTTGTGGGGCAGGCACTTACAGCGGGACAGGGAAGGGAGGCGCATCGGCAAGCCATGTCCTCAGCAGGTAACAAACTAGCACACACCCTCACCTTGCGGCAACAAGATCTCTTCTCTTTCCTCTCCTGAGTTGACCCCACTGTATTGTGTTTTATCGTTCATTCTTTACTGAGGCAGCAGCACCTTAGGGCGTCGTCTGGGTAGTGCTTCGCAGTCTTTTTATCCGTTAACCACCGTGTGAATGTCGCTACTGGCTCACTTCTTGTGGGGCACGACTGCTTCATTGTAGCTTTTTGAAGCCAGGATTATGGGTTGGATGTCTTTCCAGGGCTTGCGCCTAGTGCACCTATCTATCGAGTGGACAGCGGCTGTGCGTCGGGCCTCAAGGCTGTGACCCTCGCCGCTGCATCCATTTCCCTAGGAGAGGTACACCTCGCTTTGGCTACTGGTGTCGAGTCAACTAGCACAGCTCCGCACCTTCTTCTGTAAGCCACACACCCAGAGCTCTCCTTCGCTGGCTGCAAGTGGTTCTCGATTGCACCATAGGGGGGCGTCAACGGATGCGGGTGCAAGACACCCCCAGGGTGATTCATTTTTTTCACTGGGTGCTGCTAAAGCTAGCTTAATTTAAGGCGGCGCAGCAGGGGAGGGATTGATGGCGTTAATGTGTTGGGGATTCCCCTGGTCTCCGCTGGCTGAATGGCAGTGTATGAGAAACAGTTGGCATATGTGACTTGAAGAGGGTTATAGAGGAAAGGACTGCTCAAAGAAGACATCTGTGCTTTAGCCGCTAGGGCATCTTATATCATATATACCGGGCCTTTAGAATAGAGAAGAGGTTTCGTTTACTACACAAAGGGGCCCTAAAAATCATTCCTCGGCGCCTTACCCACCCCATACTTTCAGAGGCTTCCTTCTGATATAATAAAGAACGCTTGCAAACGAATCGGTGCATTTGACTGGGCAGAGCCTCTCTGTACATGTTATCAGATCTGCGCTGAGAGCTCGTATGCATTTTGCCTTTTCCCGCCCGTCTGACGCTTTCCTGTGCAGGAAGACACGGGAGGGCGGGTACCCTCTAGGAGACGGGGCCCTTATCGATTCGCTGGTTCTTGATGGCCTAATAGATGCAAGATCCGGAAGCTATTTGGCAGTGTGTTTGTGTGCGCTCTTGCTTCTCTCCAGCCTCGCACCTTTCCCCCACCTTAGATACCCTCCATAGCGCTCTTCCTCCTTTTAACCTTCTACTTTGCTTCCTACGTGGCCGCATTTACCCATGGAATCGGTGTGAGCCGGGTTACAGGGCAGTGTCAAACGATGCAGACACGACATGACTGTGTTGGTGCGGGGTGAGATGGATGATGCGTTTGCAGTGCAGCATGTGCCCTCATTTCTAGGCTTCCGTTTGCTTTTTCTGGTGTCTCTTCAGCATGCAGACGCAGCCGCTTCCCGCTTGGGGATCACCAGAGCGGCATGTGATGGCTACGCAGTCGAGAGCTTCAAGAGGGCTGCAGACGCAATGAGCCAGGGCCTCTTTAGGCTCGAGGGACTCCGCCCTGTGTCTACGATCTCCCCTGGTCAGCTGCACATATGCGTACACACAGACACAGACACACACACACACACACACGCACGCATACGCACACATTCATGTGCACAACGAAGTGCAACCAAGCCACTGCCTAGGTTGCTTGGGGGAAGAAAGCTTATGTAAGGGGAAAAGGAAAAGAGGCACAAGGGGATGCCTGGCATGCGAGGCAGGGGGAATAGAAGCCCATAAGGAGGCTTTTCCCGCCTGCTCTTGCGGCTGAGGCAGATGGCATGAGATTGTGTGCGACGTTCTGCATCAGAGGTTCCTACGCGCATTGAGGGTTTCTCTGCCGCACTGCCGCAGCTGCAGGAGCACACAACAAGGGCCCGTCAACAGCAGCAGAAGGTACAGCAGCGGGGCTCAGTGCTTCACGAGGACGAGGAGGTCGGCCGTCTGCAGCTGGATCGCGTGGCTTCCGCGCGCCCAGTCTTCGGCTCTACAGGCCTGCTGACCCCTGAGAATTCTTTTAAGCTTGGAGATGGGGCAGCAGCCGTGGTGTTGGGAGCAGAGGAAGAGACAAGAGGCAGGGGCCTAAGGCCCATTGCTAAGTAAGCCAGCTGCGCTCATCCCGTTGGAATATTGTTGCTTCTGCTAACACTTGCCCATCGAGTAACAGAGGCCCCACCTGACAAGGGAATTTGTGGAGGCCTCGCTGCCAGTGCCCGTGCACGTAATCAGCAATCCCTTAAGCTCCAGTAGTTGTAGAAGGCGGAATGACTACTGCAAGCGACAGGGAAGCGTCTAAGGCAAATATTCCCTCAGCCTCTAGGCCCCCAAAATAAATGGACTTCTGGCTTTGGGAGGGTCCTAGAGGTCTGAAGCCTCAGTTTATGTTGCTGGGGGGTTGCAGGATTCTGTCGTTCGCGGACGCTGCTGGAGACTCAGCGGACTTGGCGGGAGCCTCGGAGGAGGCGTTGAAAAGGGCCTTGAGCCTTGCTGGCCTGCAGCGGGCAAGTGATATGCGCCATAAATGTTGCTCTCTCTAGAAACTTTCTGCCACCACCCGTTTTCCGCAGCCCCTATATGTTCTGTCTTTGCTGATTCTATCTACTGCAGGTGGTGCAATACCATGCGCAATCAGACTTGTTTTGTTTTCCCAATGTCTGTAGCCTATGCCTCTCCTTTTGGCACTTATTATGCGGCTTTTTGCCGATTGCGTAAGTAACAGATCGTCTGTTTGTCTGCTGTCTGGTTTTTCTTTGTTAGAGCGACTTGTACGAAATTCACGAGGCATATGCTGCCCTTCCACTGCTTCTAATGCATCGCCTAGGCCTCTGCCAAACCACAGTCAACACTCATGGCGGTGCAATCAGTCTTGGGCACCCGATGGGTAAGGCCTTCTGAATTTCCGAGGCGTACTGGCAGCCTTTGCAGTTTGCCTGGTACTTCGCGGTCGTTCTTAGCCCTTCAGTCATATGGGGAACTGCGTCTCTTCCCCATAGGTGAATCTCGCGACATCTGCTACTGTCTTCGTGTAGAGCGAAAGGAAGAACCCACTTATATGGCTTCTTGTTTCTTCGTCTCTGCGCAGGCATGACAGGAACCAGGATGCTTCTCTCGCTCATATGTGCCCTGAGGGCCCGCGAACTGACGTATGGCTGCGCAGTTATTTCGAATGGTGGGGACTCGGCTACAGCTGTGGTAGTGGAGGCTGTCTGATGGCTTCGTGGACCGGTTCAGGGGGCTGTGCTCATTTGAAATTGAGCCACCCTCCCCTTCGAAGATCCTTGGCTTCTTTATTGGCGTCCAATACGACTGTAGATCCCCGCTCTGCTTGTATAGGGACGCCCAGCCACTCGCCACAATTTAGGTGCGACAGACCTTCGCTGGCGACCCCGGTGCCTCATCACTTCAGATGAAGTGTGAGGCAAAGACCTCCAAGGAGCAGGAGCTGCAAAATTCATCGGGCTTCATGAAAGGGGCAGTGGTGTTATTGACGCCTGAAGGCTTCGATCTGAGAGGCATGTGGACGAGGGAACATTTGTGGGACTGCTTCCAAGCGGTATTGAGGGCTTGCACTGGGGGCTTTGCGGGCCTGCTGAGGACTTCATAGGCGTGCGCATCCGAGTTGCCCCTGCTTCATTTTCTGCCTTCCACCGCTTTTGGTTTAGACAGAAAAGGGCGAATGATTGGCCCTAATTGTTTTTGAGTGGATGCAAATACGGGCATTTGAGCACTTTATCAGATGCGTTGCTCAGTCTCAGCCTCCCTTCCGCATAGCGTGCTTCCTCAGATTAGGCCTACCTGAGCATAGTCCCCTTTCCTCTCACTTTAATGGTGCCAGCTCCAATAGCTGCAATAAAAGTATTGCTTATGTGAGTGAACACGTCGCTGGGTCGCCGCATCACAGTTGTCCTTGTTTGTCGCCCCTCTCGCGATGTAAGTATGGCGTAATATAACGCCTGCTGGGGCGGCAAAGGCCGGCTTGCAAGCTGGTGTGAGCACAGTAGCTCCACAGCTGCTAGAATTACATATGTCGGCCGACATAATGTACATGGATGCGTCGATGAGGTTATCTAGACCAAAGACGTATGACGACCGGCAGGAGAGGTAAGTACTCGAATATATGATTAGTCAGTGGAAGATATACCTCGCTTTGCATCCCCCGATCAAGAGAACCGAGTGTTCCTTGCAGCATGTTCATTGCATTGCGAAACAGCGCGATGGAGGCTATACTCATGTTGTCGAAGTAGCCTGCATGTAGGGATTACTGCACCCCGAGCTCCCGTTAAAGGCCGATAACGGATTATGTCGATACCGGCTCAATATTAAAGTTTATTAGAATTGAAGAAGGTCAAGGAGGGAGCGCACAAGTACAGTGTTATGCTAGGAAATATCGGTTCTGGTTTTCAAAACCCACAGCGCAGGTAAAATCCACGGAATCTAAGCAACGGGACTGGGCCCACCAGAATCAGGTTGCTTGGCGAGTTACAAAGGCGCACGAGGGCAATTGAAAGCTTCCATGCAGGCTGCAGCAGAGCGAAGGGGGCTACAGAGGAGAGAAGCGACACATCGTGAGTCCATGATGGCGCTGAAGCAAGGGATGAAGTAGGCAGTTCTGCTGAGGCTATGGAGACCGACGTAAATGCTATCCTTGGCCCAGATCTTCGGCAGTTCAACAAAAACGTCGATAGTCAATTTAGTCCAAACTCCTTTAGGATGGCTTTGCAACAGGTCGGCTGTAGGAGAAGTGTGCGGCCTCAGTTGCTGAAAAACCGGCATGACGATGCCTAGTTCTCTGCCACGGGTTGCATGCCGGGCTATAAAAGGAACCGTCAAAGTTATTGATGCAGTGTAAATCTAGCCTATCCCAACGAACATGATCATTTCCCTTGCATGAAGGGATAAAACGGAGCAAAGTTGGAGTGTGCAAATGCAGGAGTCGCCGTGTCTTCGAACCATAACAGGATAGCTGCAACGTGGTGCTGCTTCAACGTTTCGTCATTATCTTTTTTAACAATCGTAGCGATTTTATGGGTGTCAAAGGCATAATACTCCAGAAGTCCTGATTGGAACAGTGGAAGATCGCCGACAAGTGAGGTTGTTTTTCGCAACAATGAATTGCTGAGGCGTCTCGAGAGAACGTTGGCCATCACATTGGTAATGTTGGTGATGCTTGTGATGTTCAAAACGTATTTTGCTGTTTATTTGTCCCCAAGCAGCCGTCTAAGCCAGCAAACGAGTGTTGAATAAGTAAAGCTGCAAACGCTTTTATATGGGTGCAATAGACACTGATAGTGAGTCTGGACAGTAAGGCTGCACACATGCAAATAATATCGGCATGGATTTTTCCCGCCCTACCACAACCCCATCGAGTTCTTGTTCATGATCTAGCTGTCGTTGCTTGCTTTTAGTAAAGCGATAAAATTGGCAGGCAATTATATTATTCTATGGAGAGCCCAAAGCCTGCTAGGAACAAAGGACCCTCATCATCGAGCAACGTAAGCACCTGGGGAGTTGCATGGTATC